CGCCAGTAATATATATCCTTCCATACTACTGACATTTTGCCCCGTCTTTACCAGCAAAATAAGATCTACCCAACCCTCAAAAAAGCTCTTGATACTCTTTTCGAGGAACAGCCCATAACACTAAATCGGTAGAGTGGAAAGAAGTACTGTCTCTGTTTTTTAAGATGATGTAGGGTTCTTCTATCTCAAATGGCAAAACTCAGCCTTAAGACTTTTGCGCTAGGGTGAGAGATACTGCTACAATCTTATCCTCGACTACCTTTTTACTCTCCGCATTCTCCTAACCGACATTTCTTTAAGTGATCATTATCAACTTTTCTTAACATTAGGTAATCACGTGCAGATTGGGATGGGTAGATGGAAAATGCGTGTAGGAGAGAAATGAAAGTGGCTTGATTGCATGTTCTTAGGGAAAAAACGTTTTACAAAGGCTTATGTGTCGTTGGAGGGGCAATATTGGCTAAATAGCTTATTTTAACTAATAAAATTTGCAGAAACTTCAGTAATTGTTTAATTTGTAGAATATAACTGGTCCTAGCTCTAACTGTTGCCTCAGACAAAGATATTTTTCTACTTGATGGATGATTAGTGGGTTATTTCTAATCTACTCTATCATCCAAATTAAATGTCAACTGCCAATGCCTTTCAAATACCACTGTAACATCTACAATGGAATCCAATTTCTCACTACAATATAACTTAGCATGTATTTCATTAGTTAACTGAATTTTTGTGCATTTTTTGTTCGACTTTTAATGCCTCTTATTGGTCTGAAATTGGCATTTGACTTGTAAAATCAGATTGTTTGTGTTACGCATACCATGTACCACACCTGGCGTGTTATGAAGTTATAAGCTTAATGGGGGGAGTTGTGATTAGCCTACCAAAGTATCTTAAAGAGAACGGATTGGTTTGCTTTTCTCCTATATTAATTAGCTTAAAAGCATGGAGCGGAAAACCTTTTGTGTTCAAATGCCAATGCAAGTTGAATTGAACTTTGCCTGTCAAAGGCAATATTTTGGCCATCACCTGCGATTTTGGCTTCTGTGAAACTTACTATAACGGATGCTACGTAGTATTTGAGAATTACTCAATTGCAAATACTTATGCCTTCATTTATTACTGTCGAATTACTAATAAAGTGAAAGTGCTGAGGCAGGCTGTACTGCGTGGCGCAAGGGCTCAAGAATTAGCTGTTTGCAGACTTCTTAAACTACGAAAACGCAGAAACAGTATCTTCCGTTCCTCCGTCATATTCAATGTCATCTTTTCTTCTGCCTATTAAACAATTTAAGGCGTGAGTAGACTCAGGTGAGGGCAGCACTCCAGCTCTAAGTAAATAATTTTAGAAGAAATATGACAAATGCATAAAACCGACCTTCTGAAATATGTCAAAATTACTGAACATCTGACAGCAAAGACAAGGATTTAGGTGAAGTTCGTTGAAATTCTCTAATTATGAGGAGATGAATAGACAGTTTTTTATTTCATTTTGTATGCAGTAAATTAATTGTTTGGCAAACAGTCGTTTAGGTTACGAGGGCACTTAAGCCTAGGACATTGTACTTTCGCTCGCTGGCATGGCCTTCAGGCCACGCGGATTGCCTCACTTCCTCTGACCATCAGTGATATATCTTCCAGCACATAGCTATTTTGTTATTCCGCAGTGATTGTAGCGGCAAAAGAACCCAGTCCTGAAAAACAGATGCACTAACATCATCTACCTTATTGTAAATTTTACTGTGGCAGAGGGGCGCCTGAGGCTGATGACCGAATCTGAATGCTCTTAAAAAAGGTTGAAAATAATGTCAACCGACCCAGTCCCATATTTTGCAGGAATGTTGTTAGCAGCCGAAGCGACACCTGCCGTGAACCATCTGAAAGCGTTCCTTTTGGAGTTGTCAACGCTACCCACGTGAAGGTGTCAATTAAGTGAATGCGTGATATCTCCTCCACCTCTCCGCTAACCGGAGAGGACCCAGATGGACATGACTTGGCAGTACTGTAGTGAAGAGCTTTAAACGAAGAGGTTGAGAGAATGCCTGGTTACTGGTTGATAATCTGCCTTTCGGCTAGAAGAGGAAAAGCCGTCATTTTGATCACCCGTGGCTTTTAAAAAAAATAAATTGCAGAAGACTATGCTCAGACCTCTAAAAGATTGTCATTAGGAAGGGTTTGTAATTACGGTAGCTAACAGGGTAGACTGCAGGTACGTGAGCACAATCGCGACTCCGACTCATACACCTGCATTTCAGAACCGTTAGCTTATAAAAATTTCGTAAGATTCTACAGACTGATTTATTTCTCTCGCCCAGCGATGTTATTTACTTCGCCGCCTACATTGTGTTAAGCAAATAGCAAGGGCTTCAATGATATGCAATTTGTAGCGCTACCTTTAACAATTCATCGGGTTTCCTGTGAGGAAGTTGAAAACCGAGGTGCAGTTAAAAATGCATCACGATAAAGTGATTTCCTCTGATAGGTTGAGATTTCACTGAGCAAAACACTTAGCTCGATTTTTTTGCTTCTAAACTAATTGCTGCGATGTTCATTGAGCACTTAAGGAAACGTGGGACCTTCCTTGTTATTTTTTTAGAGCGAAAACGTCGGCCCGCCTTCTCTCAGTGTTACTGACCACTATTTTTCCACTAAAGTTAATTCTCTTTCCCTTTCTAAATCGCGTCACTTTTTAAATGGAAGCGGAGAATGAAAAGGATGGTACACTTAACACTGCCACTCTGATTATAGCCAATTTGTGTTAGAGTTACTACATTTAGACAACAGAGAAAAACTTGGCAGTACAGGCAGAGATTAGGGCATCACACTTAAAAACCTCCTATAATCCAGTTGAATGCACACACCCTAGTGTTTTAAGAGGACGAAACTATGGAAGGTCGACTAAAATTCTGCAGTGAATGAGACGTAGTGCATGTTACTTTGGATGCGGTGGGTTGATACGAACTTCTTAATGGTGAGGCCACCATCGCCCTCTGAGGAGGAGGAAACATAACCTATACAAGATTATTTGTTGCTACCGGATAGAGCATATCCTTACCCAACTTGCCTTTTCTTTCCTTAGGGTATGGAAGCTGAGATGTTGCATAAACTTCGTTTCCTTCCACCACTGTTCCAGTGCGCCACCTCACTGACTTCATTTAAAGAATTAAAATGTTTTTATTTATTTCGGATGCATATTTGACTTACTGTAAAAGTCCTGCTGGATGGGATAATTTGGGATGGCCCTGATTACCCCAGAAGCATTGTTTATTTCACCCATCATAAATTCGCTTTCTTTAAAGAATGTTAACTGAGTGCTTTACTTGCCCTCACGAGCAGTAACCTTGAGCCAATTAAGACAGGAGTCTAATGAAAATGCTTGGTGACTAAATAACTTGCGAAATGATTGCATGATTTGCCAACTTTTGTTTTCATCTTCATGCAACCACCAAAGTAGCTGAGACTTATTAAATGATTTGAAAATAGGGAAATTTATGCATGTATAATGTCTGGTTTCCATGCCTTACCTTCACCAGTGCCACCTAAACCTAATAATTAAATCATAAGGTGTCAGAAATGTGTAGGACACTTCATGACCTGGGAGTTGGCATACACATGAGTAGGAAATGGAGAAAATGAATCTAAACTCAGCGTGAGTTACGACCCCGATTTGGTTTAAAAATCACTTCTTATGCATTATGACTAACGGACTGTCAAAAACTTACATTTACTACGTTATTCGTTTGCTATTCTATGCTTTAATTGGTTATCTAACTCTATTTTGGCCCGTTTGCATAGCCTCTAGGTCATGTCAGTAGTCCCTCAGACTCTCTGTACGTCAAAATACACATTTTCTGTCCCAATTTTGTGAATTCATTCATCTTAAGAAAAAGCTTGCGGTGCTATATTGATGACAGCGGAACGCGAACCCAATCATAAAGGACAACTGACCTGCTTAATGTCAACGTGATAGATTAAAGGCATTTAATGCAGATGAGAGAATCTGTGACAACCTCAACAAAAGGATTTAAAATGACGTCTGCATTAGGCAACTACCCCAGTCCAGTGTTCTACGGGAATGCTATTAACAAATGAGGTGACGCTAACTGCGGTCGCGAACCACGTTGAAAATTTTGTCTGCAATACATCTTCTGTCAACTCCTTTCGCCTTCAGGACAAACTCAAAGCGGTACTTCTATTAAAAATTTGAATAATCTTCAAGAGCCAATCGACTTTTCGTGGGGAGCTCAATATATTTTACGGGTGAACTAACTCGTATTTTCCTCAACTTTGATCAAATCAGAAGCACAAAAACTCCTTGTAAAAATGCTCATACCAACAATCACTTAAATAACTCATCTTTCCTCACAATAATTGCGCATACGCACAAAAATGCACTTAAGCGAAGGAGACTTTTTAACAGTGCATACGTCTGTCCAGATGTCAGCATAAATTATCTAAAGGAGCAGGCGGAAGGAGACACATTTTATGTGCCTAGCTTAATTAATTCAATTGGACAGAGATGAATACCCTATAATGGCCTTAATGACATTGTTTTGAACTCAATTTAGTTTTTTTGCATTGTTTTCAACACCTACAGCCATTCCAATTGGCTGTATTCAAGTATAATTTAAATGGTAGGGACTTGCAGAAAAATATACTGCCAAATATTTTTACCATATTTGGTGACCTCTTTTACATTGCCTCCTAAATGGGTTAAGTCCGCCATTTTCAATCGCATTAGATGATCTACCCTCAAGTGATCCAGTCTACCTCCGAGGCACGCACTATCACATACTCACCTTTATTAGGTCAATCACCCCGATGTTTGACTGACAAATGATTAACTTCTCCACGTAGATGACTACCCAGCCGCCCACTCATTCATCCACACACACGCACACCTACACACATAAATTGGTATAGATGTGATCTGCGCTGCGTGTTTTGCTCGGAGGTTTATCTTTTTCCATATTATAATAAATGCCTAAAGAAACGTCTCCTTATTCTTCTACAAACAGATGGTTTGATGACGTGGTCAACCACAAAATTTTCCCACCTAATAAATAGAATTTCTTTCTTCTGCATGGTTAATAGAAGATTGAGTTGAAAAGGAATTTACAGCCACGTTTTTACTTTTTACTATGGCTTAAACGAAGGGTTGGAAGGCACACAAATGGTAACCTTATGGTGTTTGAAACTATCTTGCTTGAATGCAAATGTATTTTAGGACATTCGTTGCATAGCTGGGGTACATTATCTCAAAGCTGACGGCTAGTACGTCTGTAGACCCTACCATGGGAGATGTACAGAAATTACAATTTGTCTTTAGGCTTGTGTGCTGCAGTAAAAGGAGAAATTCAGAATTTTCATTTGTTGAGTTGCAAATGGCAATGACCGGCATTTTCCGTGATGGGAGGTGTAGGCGCTCATTCCATTCTCAGGCTTTATACCGCCGAGTTAATTACATCTTTCCGCTAGTTACATTGTAAATTACGAATCAGCAAACTGTGAGGAGAATGGAAGTAGACAAGCGCATAATTAGACTCAAGAACCATCAACTCACTCCCTTCCTCACCTCTTTACTTTACCAATATAAATACCCGTAGTTGTTGACGGACTGGTTTAATTGTGACGGGGAATGACTGCTATATTGGTGGTCATCCCTACACAATTGTATCACTTTACACACTCCCAAACCCCTAAAGTCCACAGCACTTCTACCTTAAAGGAATATGTATACATTGTGTGTGGTGCTCCACAGATGCAGGTGTTCTCTACCCACCAAGAATTGATGATGATCAGGTAAAGCCCAATTAATAAATAGGCCTGAGGTTCATCCATCACTGAGTACTACCTGATGTGACTTAAAGGTATGTAGGCGAATCTGCTGCCATTTTCTCTTCTTGGTAAATGAGAACTAGAAAATCGGTCAATAGGAAGAAAGTGTTGTTTGTGCCCTCGCAACACAGCGTAAGATCCCATATTCCAAACAAAAGAAAGAAGGGTGAGCAGGATATATTTCTTCATCTCCATTCTCATTCCACACTTTCCCTGAATTAATATTTCCAGAAGTGGCAGTTGCTTCTTTTTCCTGACAGCTATTAGTATATGAAATAGGGGATAACTAGAGAACAACAGTTGGAGAGAAAGGTAGGCGGCAAGGTTGCTTGCTTTATTTATGGGCAAAGTGCTTCACAAAGAAGTCATCGAGAAAGGGTGATGGTCTCAGTGATATGAAGCATGATATTTGCAGTCACTTGTTATTAGCCAAACATCATCATCTACCCCTCTCCTAAGAGCTTTTACACCAGTCTAGGTGTGCCTTTTTCGACAAGGTAATGATGATCACTTGACAAAAAACTATGACGATCTCCTCGAGGTCAACCACTGCTGTGCTCTCCGTGTTGAATAGCCGGCTAGCTAAAAACTCCCCTGCTTTGTTTGCACCGACCCCACCAACTTTATCGTTGCAACTATTAGGTAGACAGAGGAGCCTTCATTATTCCTCAGTTCGATTTTGCAGACAATTTGCCTCTCTTAGAGCCAAAAATCTCCTTTACCCTAATCTGCTAATCAGAATAGCGGGTTGTTTAAAGAATTATCGCAACATGTTTGTGCTGTATTGTTTAAGTCGTGGAAAACCAATCACTGCAAGCACTTGGTATTTGCCTGACAGACGACACTTTAAGGTGCCCGAAAGCATCACCTAACAAAGGTATGAAGTTCAGTCAGATCGGGTGCGACAGGTAGCTCAGCAAACGTTGAGTGCCCGCTGGTATGTAGAGCACTTATTAGTAATTATATTGCAAACTTCCAGTTTTATTGCCTTCAGATACTAGGAAACATTGATCACTGGATGAGAAAGTGGTACTTCAAATAATCATTTCTAACCACTTGATGATTTCACCATTCTAAAACCATAAACACCATAAATTTAAGGGTTGAAATTATGTGCACAAGGAAGCCCTGTAAGTCTGTTTTTGGACAAAAAAGTAATTCAGTGCTACAAATGCCACCTTGAAAGGACATTTCTCTTCCAACAACGACATTGTGTAGGCCATCAGTTTGGAGATTGATACAATGATTTCATTCCAGCACGATGTGTTGACGTCACAGAGGCATATGGAAGAGAATGAATGATCAGTCCCTTGGAGAACGAATCTCTTAAAGTTAGACCAGTATCTTAAATTATATATTATATCATAACTTTGATTGATTCTGAAAAAAATCAGAAAAAGGGCTCTTCAATGTATCATATTACTTCATTGAGCAAGCACTCCTCTTCCCAAAGTGAGTCGCCGAATTGTGTCTGCAGACTGCGCTAGTGGAAATGCAGCAGTTCCGTATGGCGATACTAGAGAAAGCGGTATTCAGAGTTAAAAAATTGTCAGACAGTTGACTCCTGTTTACATGAGTTGAGCGTGCGTTGACACATGCGACAAAGGATAGATTGCTGTCTACCCTCACATGAGACAAAGCAAGGGTACAAGCCCACCATCCTCTTTTATGTACTGCTCTGGCATTGAGTAAACCATTTACTCTGGGATAGCGCCTCATTCAGTCATTCATCTTTTACCTCATTTCCTCTGCCACTCCTAATCACCAAACTCCACTCAAGTAGTTTAGTACTAGTACATAAATGATGTCGAAAAGTGGCTTTCAGGTTTAGTCCTATTTTCCTGTTAAATTTTGTACATTGGTGAAGACTGCTGGATTGGCGTCAAGAGTTGTGAGCAGTTTGCTGTAATTAAACTCAGTCACTTGTTCAAATGAGGTTCCTGCTATGTTCTGATGTTTATTTGTATGAGCATGGCTACTACTGAGATCCCACTCAGGGCATTCAAGGAGCATCGAACTCTAAACCCAAGTCAATGAAAACTATTTTTAGTGGCATTTCAAAGAAAGGAATACAAATTCCTCGGGTAGCGATGTGCTGGGGCGAGGGTTGACTAGGTGGGCATTTAATTAGGCTAAACCAGCTCCGATTTCTCAATTATAGTTGGGTTATGATCAACAGCTTGCGACTCCACAAATAAGAAAGTAAGCGCACGAGGGAGTTACATTTTACCTCCAAGGCCTCGTAGCTGATGAAAATATTTCCACATAAGCCACCTTGAAGCTCCCATTGACTGTTTTAGTTTAAATAACGGCTTTAGAAACCTTCACTTCCTTCAAGTTGCACTGCCTAAAACCAACCTTTTTAGATACTTTTAAATGTAAAATTCCCCGCTGAAGTTACATGCGAGATGCTTTAGGTGTTATTCTAGAAGCCTCCCAATAACATATCATGGCTTGCAAAACTTGACAGTGCAATTATTCATTCGTCCAATTTCTTCAAACTTCATTCTTCACCTGACGGAAGAACGCTATCATTTTAGCTAGGGTACAAAACCCCTCATTAGTGGGTTTGTGGCGAGCAAAGGACAAGGAGTTTAAGTAACATTTATACTTTCTTTTAGGGCATTGATGTCGTTATATGTGACCATCCAGAGTACACTTTAAAAGAATGATTACGGCAAAGACTAGATCAGGCAGTACATTCAACAATGAGGTGATATTGGCGCATTTTAAGAAGTCGCCTGCCAGTTGAGCAAGTATGAAAGTTTGCCACACTGTAGTGCTCTTCGTGCTTAGCAAATCTTGTGGAAGAGTGCATTCATAAGGAGAAGGCTATTTGCGATCAGACTCGTATGCATAGGTTTTAAATTTTAGGGACATTTAAATGCTGCTAGAAATAGCGCTTTGTCAGGCAGTAAAACTAACATTAGTCGTAGCTCAGCCGCTTAAGAGTCCAAGTGAGATTAAAACTACAAAACTGATGGAAAGGCACTACGTTTCGGACCCAAACCGCAAGTTCCGGGAAAGTAAATCGACAAATCTTTTTCTGAGATTACATTGAGTGAGCTTTTGGCCATTTCTGCTTGACGAATCAACTTCAATCTACTTTCGATGCAGTAGAAGCTTTTTAACAAAGTTACGCAAAGCTCAAGGGAGGTAAGGGCTACGATAGAAGAATGTACACCGTTGAGAAACAGTAAACAATGCCTCATACATACCTTTTGTGTTCCCTTGAGGCCTTTCTCCAATTGACGACAATTGCTTTTACCTTGGACTTGGGCATCCAATCACACGCGGAGGAGTAAAAGCAATGGGTAACAGAGGTGGGACGTAAACGAAGGTAGCTAGGGCGGGGTTTTGTTCTCCTTTTAGAGAGGCAAAACTTTTTATGCAGGTAAAATCGGTGAGCTAATATCTAATTGAGAAAGGGACGGTAGATTGTACTAGTAATTTCTTTAAAGAACAAAGTATTGAAAGAAGCTTTCTACAATATAATTCAATTTTTTTTAAAGTACCACATGATTCTAGTTGGTCTTCTTATCGTACAAAACTAGCTAATTAATTATCATCAAGGTACACCTTATCAATTTGCTACTGACAGAAGTAGAAGAGTGCATTGTGCTTCATTTACTATTCATTCCTTGACGTTGCGGTGTTTACTCCATAAAAATGGTTTTTCGACAACTTACATTAGTTATTTTAAGAAACTCAGTTATTAAAGCAAGAAGTTTTTCCTCGGTTTTTTGGGTATTTTAGCCATTACTCAAGCGGGAGCACTTTCCCTCTATCTACAAAATTTAAAACTCGCCCATCAATGGTGGGCGGTTACGGCCTCAGAGGTGTGGCACTCAGCTCCAGTGTCGCTCTCGAAGGCGGACGCCAAAAGTGCGGCTCAGCGATCACCTTGGATCTTGTGGCCTCATGGATTAAAGCAAAAAATACTGTTGGAGTCAAAGTAATTGTGCTATAGAGTAAACGTTCTGTCCCAGTCAAAGGTGTTTCCATCCAGCGCAATAAGATTCCCTAAAGTGTCCCTCTTAGGGTTGATCACCTTAACTACCGGAAGAAGTCACCTGTGCACAATCGCTTTTTACAATTCGCAAGTTAGCATTCATAGACTCTGTAGAGAAAGAGCTAATCCCTTTTTTGGGAGATCCTATGTCCGAACCTAAACACGAAATAATTGCACGGTTAGTAGCTTAGGGAGAAATGATTATGTAGCTTATTGCGTTCCTCGCCACTGCAATTTGAATGAGTAATTTTAGCCTCGAGGGGCAATTTTAGCGTGGAGACAGACCGTAAAAACATCACAAGTGGTTGAGTCATAATTATGAAGGCACCATTATGGTGCTTCTCCCTTCTAGACGAATTCATTTTCTCCTCTCACGTGATTTAGCTCAACCGAGAAATATGACATATTTAATTGTTTGTTAGTTCTGCACAGTCATGCCAAAATATTTGCAGCTTGACAGAGGGATATGGCAAGAGAGTCAATTCGGGTGGGCTCATATGAATTCATCTGATTTTTCTGCCACAGTAGTTGGTGTGATTCACTGGGAAGTGGTTGACTGGCGTTTTCACTCCTACCTATGCACTTATTGACTGCAGTAGGTGTTAAGATTGTGTTAGCAGGCAACAACTATCAAAATTTATGATTCTGCTTTCTTTCAGCTTTGCCTGAGCTCCGTTTTTGTTTTAATGAGAGGATCACAAAAGTTACTTAAACTTAACATTTGCCATTTAATACCTTATCACGAAAATTTTCCAAACCTACTATAGCGCACCAAGTCTTTTTAAAACAAAGAAGACTTAATATTAGACGTAAGCAAACACCTAACACCAAACGTAAGTAGAAATTAAAGTTGGCGGCTTAATGGAGAGCAAAATACCAACCATTTTCTACGTGAAAACTTTACCATGAATGTTTAACGTACAAAAGTCAACTCTTAGAGAGGTATCATGATAGAAGGTAGAAGGCGGCAAACAGTAATTGTTTTCCCGTGGTGGTGCAGTAAAAGCAGTTTCACTCCAAAATTTAGACTTTTGATAGTGCAAAAATTTAGTTGTGAGTGCTTTAAATGGAGCTTTATAAATAGGGTTGTAGACTGCCACAAAATTTTATACTTCTGCATGAAAGGCATCAGCCATTACGAATATAGAACTTGGGCTGTAATTTGGAGGCTAAACGGTTATTTGAATAGGTTTTTTAGTGGGCAGAGTCCGTCAGCTCGCCCCTACTCCGTGCTGTTGTCCGCAAGAGTGTATTGCAAATTCTCGCATTTGTGTTGCTGCACACCCCTGCTAGTCTGTAGTCTGTGGATGAGGAATGGGAACGTGAAATGTAAAGGCGAGTAGATTTGGATAGAATAATCTAGCTGAACATCCTAGCCTCTATCCAGGTAGGACACTTCAAACAACACATTCAGCTTATCGAGCAGACTATGTAAGTGGAATGTAACAACGAGAAGCAGGAAGGGGAGGAGGATGCAATGCTATTTAGTCCTGTTTCCATCAACCTCATTGAAAGTTCTGCTTTTCCGGGTGCTATTCTGCCCCACTTTCTTCTGTACACATAGCTTTCTTTGCATTGATGCTTTTTGTCCCTATATTTGGATAAGGTGTTTTCCTCGACCTAATAAGTTACCTGCAGAACAGTCAATGTCCTGAAGAAGTCAACTCCTATTTTCTCCCATTTAAGTGCCTCAGCACAGACCCTTTTCCCCCCAACAAGTGCGTGTTATTCTTGTAAGTGTTTACTAGTTTCTCAACCAGAGAGGATACAGCAAATGTGTTGTAGATGACCACGAAAATATAGCACTGCATCGCGATACAGCCAACAAATTTGGACTTATTTGGAATGATGAAATTCCTTGAAAACTCGGTTAGACATAAATCTTGGGCCAAATCGTGTTGCAGCAATCTCCATCTAGGTCAGTAGTTGATAGTTAACCAGATCAAGCCATTTTTAAATGGAAATGTGAGAAGAAGATCTTATTTTCACTGTTTCTATTGTATTTACCTAAGAAAGAGTAGAGTAGCTCACAATTAACAGCGGTGCCTGACTCTCAGTTTAGTCTCCAATTTGTTTACAGATAAAAAGCCTTCGTCGGCTGTGCACTTCTTACATCTGGGCAACGATTAATGACTGAAGGAAGGAGTGCTGCTGCTTTGTAAACTTCGTCTCCTTCACCTGTATCGCTGTATCCGGACGAACGAGTAAGCAGAATTTGTTTACACTTACCACTACTTCCTAAGTGTTACCTAGAGATCAATTCCTTGCTGTGATTGTCACTTCTGAACGAAAGTACATCTATCTTCGCTTCAGAAGCCTATCAACTTTGAGTAGAGGATTAGTCCGTCAGTCCAAAGCCTTCATACTTGTGTAGTGTATAATATCCTGTGGAGTAATTAATATTGGGATTGCCTCCCTTATATGCAAATAATGAGTCCGGCGGAGGGTAAGTTCTGCCATGGTAACAAATTGAGCCGCTGTTTACAAAAGTACAACTGCATTGGAAAGGCTAAAAACAATAGATTTTGCCTTTTTACCAACTATCGGTTTTGAAAGGCTGTCTTATTTACCCTGAAATCTTGTAGAATATTTATTGCCACATGAGGCGTAACTCCCACCTATATCTAAGCAGCGTTTAGGAGGGCCTTGTCATTTTTATGTGTACATAGGTAAAAGTACAACCTCTCTTCATGATCGGCGATAAAGTTCTCGAAAAATTCACTATAAGGGAACTTCCTGAAAAGCCCATATGCGTTAGCTTGTGATGACTTGATTCGCGACCAAAGTGGATGGATATCAATGGTCGTGATGCCTACCTTCACGAAATGACGAAATACATTGTCTACTTACTAATGTCTCGTTTAATCTTTCACCAAGTACTTTAGTTGCGGCTGCACCCTCTCCAACACAGCGTTGTACAAAATACCTTTTCCATTCCGTCCGCTTTTCTTCAATTGCTACACCAAAGAAAGATAAAGCTAGTTTAAAGCTACATGCGCAGTCGTTTCTAGAGAAAGTAACCAAGAAATCACGTTTGCAGATCCATGTCGATTGTTTTACCTGTTCACATTGGTTTTGTTATTCTGAGTGTAGTCAAAATTTGTTTACAGGTGATAGGCGGTGGTTAAAACTTTGCTAGAAACCTTTAATGTATTGGGCAAAAAGGGGATATTTTGGGCCAATTTCTAGTTTTTACTTCTTGTGCTAGTTGAATTAGCTATTATTCCACTCATTGAGCATTTAAAGAGGCTCAAAACCTCTGCAGCTGCTTTTTTGATCAGGCCGATAGCATTGGACCACCTCCACTCAATGTTACTGACCACTATTTTACTAGCAAATTTCTTTCGCCTTCCTTTGTCAGATCAACTTGTCTACTGGTTCCAAGGGTGTGGAATCTGAGGTAGAAGAGAAAAACACCAGGCTTTTTACATAAAAGTGGTTTTCCCCATAAATGTTTATAACAATGGCAGTCACAGCTGCTCCAGTGTCCCATTCCACAAATTCCATTTAAGTGAACAACAATTTTACTCGTTTTGTATGCATGTTTGACTTAACCCCTAAATCTTGCTTGACGTGCCAATTCGAAATAACTCGAATTAGCTCCAAAGCCTGAATAAATTCACCCATCATGTGAATGTACATGCCAAAAATTGTGTGCAACTTAAGTTCAGGAGAAAAATTTACCTGTTATAATGGAGCGTTAGAGAAGAGCTGTGTTTCAACTTACTGACAGTCTTTCTGAACCACTCCAGACGACTCGAGACCTGTTTGTTTGTTTAAACCCCGGTTTTGGTTATGCGCACACTTAAGGCTGCTCAACCGCATGGACTCTGGACCAGGACAGTAGCGTGGACGTAAGCAACACATTTTCTGCATCGGGATTATAAATTATTTTGCGATACACTGGTAACAGTGGAAATAGAATTTGATCCTAAAGAAAAACTACCCTGATCTCCATTACCGAATGCTAAATTTTAACTTAAAGAAAGAGCATATGCTGAGCATGGGAGAATCCGTAACGACCTCTGACGAGATTATTGGAAATGACGTCCACCTTCGGCAACTAGACTAGTCAAAATGTTCTACAGGGATGCTAGCAACAACTAAATTAACACCAGCTATGGAAGTGAATGAACTGACAAGTTCGTTTTGAATCTGTCAGCGACACCTCTAATAAAGATATCAATTTGGTTTATACGCGATGCCTCCTCCACCGCTCTAATAGTTGGATAAAACTCGTAGTGAGGTGGAAATGGCTGGGCAGCCATGAAGTGAAAACAAATTGATAACGTGGATTAGATGAATAATATTATCCCAACAAATTATATCCATATCAGTTCCCCATCAAATGACTGCATTACGCTAGCGTTCTTTCAACTAGTGATGGACACACAAGATGGCCAGCATGGTTTCCTCTTCTCCAATACCGGCCTAAAACAGGGCGAAACTACAGATACAGTAGAATTACTAAAAGGAGTTAGTGGCATTGCGTCTAAATATCTTCTCAGTTGGACGCAAATGTGCCGACTGGCGCGGTTGTTTCAGGGTTATTGTCAGGGCGATGCGGGTGCTTTTGTTTTACCCATGAAAGCACTAAATGCTGGGCCTTTGTACTTTCACTGGGCGGTCTTTCCCTCGGGCCATGCCGGTAGCCTCCCCTCAACTCTTTTTACATTGGCTATTCATTTTTCGTTCTAA